ACCCGAAGTTTGGAACTCAAGGTAAGTTTGTCAGCCATTTTTTTCCATCAAGGAAAAACAGGATTTATATCTTTTAAAGAAACTGACATAATCATCATCCACACAAGAAAGATGTCAAAATCACATAACAGAAAAGGAGAAAATGACAGTTAACTATTCTGCTCTGTAATAAACTCTACTTATTGCTTTACAAGTACTCAGAACTTCACATCAAGCTAAAGGTTTCCCATTTGCTTTTTTGTTTTAAGCCATGCCTCTATGGTATATTAGAAATATAAACCTTGGAACTTTCCTCTAAGATACACCTTTAGTCGTACCTTGAATTTTTTACTTCACTTTGCCAAAGACGACTCCTCCCCAAATGAAAAGAGCAGGTGCTACTTTCTCTTTCTTTCATATCCCTTCTGCTTTGATCCCTCCCTTTAAAGAAGTTCAAAACCAGTTAAATCAAGCACACACCTTGCGTTTGAGACAGCGGCGCTTGAGACATTTCCACTGACGTTTTATGCCAGGTCTCTGCCTCCGCAAACAGATAACACAGGTCCCACAGTCCTCAGTTATCTTGCAGGCCTGACACATGCCGCACTCAAGGCCCTGCAAACGAGAAGGGGGGCGGGGGAGAAGTAATTGTTAAAGCTTAAAACAACTCCAAGTCCATGCGCAGCTAGGAAGAAGCAGCAGAAAACAAGGAAAAGCACAAACCATGGAAAAGGACTAAGGGAAGGAAAAGCAGGAAGCAGCCTATGGTACCTTTTTGACAATCTTCAAGCATCGGCGTAGCAAGCATTTGATGCCAATGTGGAGCTTGGGGCTTTTGGCTCGCAGAACACACACACTGCAGATGCCGCAGTCCTGAGACATCTGGCAGGCCTGGCACACACCACAGCCAATTTGCTGCAAGGGCAGAGGGGTAGGGATAAACAAGGTTCCAGGGAAAGCAATATCCATGGGCCCATCACCTCAAAAGCACCACACTTCACCCATCTGGCCAACCACACCAGAAGCATCACACTGGATAGTTCACTCCAAACTTTTAACCACAACTTATCTAACTGCAAAAAAAAAAAAAAAAAAAACCCTGCTTATCTAGACTCAAGACATTGGCCATCAAATGTTTTAACAACTGTAAACTGCCCAGAGTAGCTGGGAGTAGATGGCATATAAATCTAATAGATGATGATGATAATGATGGTGATGATGATGATCTGGCCACCTACCATCTTGGGCCAATATCTCCACTACTTAGGATATTTTGGCTACAGATGGAGGCAACTATTATGCACAACCTCCAGTAAGCCCTATTTTCTATTATACCTCCATCTTGTATTCTTTCATAGTCCTAGGAGCTTTCTCCCTCCAAGAGGCAAACAAAATATTAATCTTTTCATTTTGAAACCCAATCTTCAGCCCTACTGCTATCTATAAATAGGGTGCATCCTTCTGTACCTCTCCAATACTCTAATACTCTAAATCCAAAACAGAGCTCCTTCCAGTTTGGCTGGGCATGCTGGCTACTGATGATAGGAAGTGAAGGGCAAAGCATCTGAGGGTCTCACATTGGGAAAGCCTCTTCTAATATATTCCAGCATATAGCCAACTTGCACTGAAATTGCTCTGGCAAACAGGTTTCAGTTACGAGCAAGCAGATTTCAAATTTGAGGTGGAATCTTAGCTTTTCACCTCTTCCATTAAGCAGCCTGCCTTTCTGTCTGTCTGGGGTAAAACCTGTCTTTCATCAGTTGGAAAGCTGATAGCAAACATACAGGTGCAGTCACAAAAATGCAGACTGATAATAATATGATGGTTTCTCATACATACTTGTACCTTACAGTAAGTCAGCAGTGGTATTTTTATTTGGTATAGGCTTATACCTAAGCACAGTACCTTTTATACACATATATTTCAATATACGTTCTAAATAAAACAGAAACTGTGCCTGTGCCTTAGATCTTACCTTATAATATCTCTGCTCCCTGTTAAAAGCTCTTCTCTGAGCTGAAAGAGGCAAAATAAATAAATAAATAAATAAATAAATAAATAAGGCACACAAAAAACATTGTCTTGGTGTCTACTAACAAATTCAGCAGTGTAAAAAAGAAGTTAAACAATCAAAAGGTTACCAGGCACAACAGTAAGCGAACCAGACATATGACAGGCTGCCCTTCTTCTCAGACAGAAGAGCAGCCAGGCAGTAAACATTTGGATTAGTAGAAAACAAAGCAAGGTCTCCAGCAGTCTTTCTAATTTACAGAATTGCTCTCTCTGAAAGAGAGCTAGAGAAGTTCAACGAGAGAAAGCAAGGCAGATGGATGGTCTGGCACACTTATACTCTAGAATCTCTGGTCAGAAAAAGGCTTGCAGATTCATGCCTTGCCTTTAAATCTAAGGTCAATAATATTTTACTGATGAGAGGAAGGAAGAGAATTTATCTTTCCTATTGATGTTTATTTATTTATTTATTACTTCAATTTAGATGGCTGCCCACTTGACATGCAGGAAGGGCATGGATCTAAAACACAAGCAGCCAAACTGATAGCCTTGAAAACCCTGCCTGTTTCCTTGGGACCAAGATGCTCAAAAACTCCTCCCAGTGAATTCCACTGGACTTGCATATTTGAAGTCCAGCTCAGAGCATGTTTGGTTAGATTCACTCTTTAGCTTTTTCCAGCAGTACTCTAAGAATCTCTTCTGTTCTTTCACTTCACATAGTTCCTCTGAAAACCAAGGGACTCCCCAGGAACCACAGGCAGGGAGAGGCCTCAAAGGCACAATCCAATCCAAGGCGATAATCACTCTTTCATTCCAAGCAACGACTAAGGCCTGAGTTGAACCATGTACCAGAGCCCCAGGGACAACCCCAAGTTCCCTCTGGAGCCCAACAGGGTCCCTGTGGCAGAGAGCACTAGTGGAGAACTCTAAAGCAATCAAAGGGTCATCTGACCATGACAAAGGACTAATGTTAATTATTCCCATATCCAAATCATGTCACTACTGCCCTGAGACAAAATCCAGATTTAACATGACCTCCTCTGTGCATCAGGCTTTCAATGATTTGAGTCAGGTCCATGGTTGCCATAGTGCCCATAAACTCCTGAGCCACCTCCACCTCCACCCCCGGAGAAAACAGGTTGAAGGAAATTCCACTACTAACTCTGACAGCATAGCCTCTATGCAGCAGGAAAGCTGATTTAGTAGCAGCAATCCCAACTGATCCCTAGTGCCCAAATTCACAAACAGGATCTCACATCCAGTAATCTCTGGTACAGCTCCCCTGAAACCACATCACCGTTGATGAAATAAAAGCAAAGCATCCATCCTTACAATAGCTTTCAAGATGTGGTCTTGGAATCTTTGTCTAACAATGGCTATATCATTCATTGTCAAGGGTATCATTTTCATCTTTGTCGCAACAGTATCTCCCCTTTCCTCCTAGATATTAATTAGCAACCAGACACTCATTGAGTCATATGAGAAAAAAAGAGGTGCTCTGCTGTTACATCAGGGCTTAAAATTGGCCTCTGCATCTCTATATGCTAGTAATGAAGGATGAAAATTAGTCCTTTCCTCATAGTCCTCATTTCAGATACTGAAATGTCATGGGTAAAAGCTTTTGGAAGAATGGCAGATAAGGGGAATAATTTAATGGACTAGGTTCTGACCATTTCACATAATTTCAAAAAGTGCATCCAGATAGTTTGCAAACGACTTGCACTGCATCCTTTCTTTGAGATTTTAGGTTAATTTATTTTATTTTATTTTATTTTATTTTATTTTAATTTAATTTTTCAGTTTAGGCACTGCCCAACTCCAAACAGGTGGCACAAGATAAAAGATACAATATAAATAGAATTATTAAAAAAAGTAAAAGAACAAAGAACAAAATGGCAAGTCCAGCCAACAAGACCCACACATGCAAACATATCCAACAGGGATATCAACCACCCTAACCCAAGCCTGGGAGAACAGCCAAGTCTTTAAAGCTTTCCAGAATGCCATCAGGGTGGGAGCCATAAAAATCTCAGGGAGAACCTCATTCCAGAAAGCAGACACTGCAACAGAGAAGGTATGCTTCCTGGATCCTGATAAATGACACTGTTTAATTGAAGGAACCCAGAGCATGCCAATCCTGCCGGCTCATACCAGCTAGGCACAGAAGATAGGCAACCCCTCAGATAGACCAGGCCCTATGCCCTGTAGAGCTTTATAAGTCATAACTAGCACCTTGAATCCTACCTGGAAGCATACTGGTAACCAGTGAAGCTTGCAAAGCGGGAGAGGCACACATGGAGAGGTCACAGAGGAGCAATGCAGTCCAAAGCCTCAGCCACCTGCCTACTCCAAGCAGTGACTAAGGCTTTGGTCAAGCCACCCATCAGATCCTCAGGGAAACCCCCTAGCTCCTTCTGGAAATCCACTGGATTCATCAGTCACCTGGGGCGGGCCAATCAAACAGTTCCTGTGTCCCTGTGGGAAAGGGTAACAAAGCCTGGAGACAATCAGAGAGTGAACTCTCCATGACAACAGACTGATGTCAATGTCATTCACTACCAGATCATGTCACAACTGCCCTGAGACAAAAGCCTGATCTAATGTGTAGTCACCAGTATGCATCAGACCAGTGAGGACTTGGGACAGGTCAATGGATGCCATGGACACCATCAACTCCTGAGCTGCCCTGGACACAACATCACCATGTGGCAAATTGAAATCCCCAAGCACCAGTAACTTGGGGGACTCCAACATCAGCCCAGTGACAGAATCCAGTAGCTCAGGAATAGAAGCTGCTGGGCAGCAGAGAGGGCAATACAGCAGCTATTCCCTAGAGCCCAACTTCAACCAGAGTGCCTCACATTCAGTTATCTGCAGAGCAGAGCCTCTGAGAGCCTTCAAAAACTCATGGATGACAACAGCCCCCCGACTTCATCCTCTCCTGGATCTTGATTAATGCAAAACCCAAAACCCAGGTAAGCATAATTCCAAGAGAAGTGAACACCCCTCTGAGCCCACCCAAATCTCAGGCACGCTAGATTGGTGCACTCACCCATGATAAAATCATGAATGAGGGCAGCCTTGTTACACGCTGATTTGGGGTTCAACAGCAGTAGCCAGAGCAGAGAGCTATTGAGGATCTGATGACCAGGCATTGAGGGTAGAAGCCAAAGGCCAGACAGTGGGAACACTTTCAAATATTGGACCAGGTGTCCCCAAGCCTGGTCCACCCCCGGATTTCCACCACACTTTCCTCTGCCTGTTACCGTTGTGATGTTACTGCCTGCCTTCTCAACTCTCCAAGTTCTCCTAGCTTTCTCCCTCTCCACACTTCCTACAAGGAAATGGCCAGTTAACCCTTTACTTGCTTTAGTGGAATGTAAGTAATCTACCATTTCAGCACAGCACTAATAAAACAAACCCATGCATCTCATCACTTCAAGTACTAACCTCTGCAGTCTGGGCAGAGCCACCGACAACGTCTCTGAGATGGCAGCATCACTTCTGGGAACTGTCCCTGACAGCTGGCACAGCATCTGGAAGAAGAAATGGGCAGAATCATTCCTTTTCACCCACCTCATAATTCTTTCTTATCCATTTCCTTATTGCAACCTGCTTTATCATTCCAAGATATTTTTTCAAAACTGCTTTCAAAAGATCTCCACAACATAACCATGTTCAGCTGTATTATCAGGAACAGCAATAACATGGTGATCATATGGCGCTAACAATTAACCCAGCAACATTTTTGGTCCAATTTCTGATTTTCCTTGTAATCAACCTCTGGCTACTACTAACTAAGTAGCGCAGTTCATTGAAGATCTCCAGGTCAAGGGAATGTGGCTAGGCAGATGAAGTAACTTAGGTCAGGATGGAGGCCTGTCCTCCCAGGTATCTACAGTAACTATGAAACCATGTTATGAACATGCCATGCTACCAGAAGATACCACATGCTAAGCCTTGAACATTAAGACTCCCAGCAGAGACTGAATATTGAGATTTAAGTTTTGAATTTGCTCAAAAGGCACACATTTACACACACAAGGAGAATGTGACAGGCTACTGAAGTAGGATTCCAAGCATTTCTACCCAATTTTCACCCGAAAAAGACTTCCAAAGCTCAAGAGTCATCTTATCTTCATGAAAATCATGTGAAAGTAAAAAGTATTTAGCAAACTGCATCCATTCCAAGCTTCCCTGTTTCATTTTGGCTTCACTGCTCTTGCCTAAAGTTACAATTTCAAATAAAGGGGAAGGATAGAGGTTCTAATAATTCATAAACAGAAAGCTAACAAGTACAGAAATATTCATTAATTTTTGTCAAATGAATAGCCCAACGTATTTCAAATCTTTACATTTATCCTTAGGAAAGAAAAGTTTTATAAAGCCTAATTTGCAAGATTAGTTTTATACTATTTCCGGGTTCCAAAAAAATATATCAGACTTGAAAGAAGTAACTTTTGTATAAACTGCAAGCTGAAAACAAAGCAAATCCATGTTTTACAGATAGATCAACTGCTGTACATCTACTTTCAAAAAAAAGTATCCTTGCTCAAACCAAAGGCAACACAAAAACAATTAAAGTTGTCTTAGCATAATTGTTCTTTCAACTGATAAACACCTTTTACAAAATTCTAGATACAGCACTTCTTTATGAGTAGGGTAACATACATTTATCCTAATAAGAACATATTCTATAATGATCAATAAAAAAATAAAGAGGTTCATTTTCATGATACTTACAGATAGTCCTCGCTTAACAATGCTAATTGGCACCAGAAACTCCATCGTTAAGCGACATGGTCATAAGTCAAAAAACCACACAACCGTGCCACTTAGCAATGGCTGTTCTGGCAGTCCCAGTTGCCATCGTTAAGAGAGGACTGTGTGGGTCGTTAAGTGAGGACCTCATGTGACCACAGCTTCTGACTTCCTGTCAGCTTCTCCATTGACTTTGCTTGTTGGAAGCCGACAGGGAAGGTCATAAATCATGATCACGGGACACTATGACATCGTAATTATGAGCAGGGTGTCAAGTAGCTGGATCACGATCACGTGACCACGGGGACGCTGTGCTGGCCATAAGTATGAGGACTGGTTGTAACTACCACTTGTTCAACGCTATCGTAAATTTGAATGGTCACTGAATGAGTGGTCATTTAACGAGGACCACCTGTATTAAATTAGATGCCCAACACTTAACATTAATATATCCACACAACCCAACTAAATACCTGTTTTTAATACTTATATACCTTGAGAACTATTTAATTATTGGAGATTATCTGACTCAAATACTGATCTTCTCTCAGTCACAACATTCCTTGCCTAAACTCTATTCTTTCTGTCTTCATACTATACAAATGTATGACAGAATTTAATCTAGTGTGTGCATATGATATATTCTTCAATCTTCTCAAAGCTGCTATACGTTTCTTCAAAATCTACCAGAACGAACACCACAGAACAGACACAACAATTGCATGGAGTCTCCAGCCTATCTTAAAACCAATACTTGAGAACAATATTGCTAAAAAGAAAAGAAAAAGAAAAAGAGTGTATATTTCTGAAAACAGTATGCAAAGTGTATTTGTGCTTTATTTTTGTACCCTTCCTGGAAAGAGGCTCATTAAGAGAGTATTAAGGAAAAAGACAAGCAGCCTATACAGTTCTGAAGCTTTTAATGAGAACCACGGTACAGGCACAGGTACTTGTAACTCTTTACAAAGGGAGAGAAAATAGTTATAGTCAGAGATTCATGTAAGTATACACCCAACTATTAGGGTCCAGAATTATACCATTCTCTACTCATCTTCAGAGCTGGATAACTGGACAATTGTTGAAAGGCTGTTTAAGATGGTGAACACACTATGTCTGTTCAGATAGGTATAAAGTAACTATTTTTATCAGAATGAAAGATGAAGACAAAATCATTATCTGCATGATTTTCAAAATAATGCACATGAATGTCTTATTTTCTTAAAATGAACAGCAAGTTGCTTTGAAAACAATTAAACTTCCTTTGATTTTAAACTGAGATTAATAAATGAAATAACTGCTTTGTATTTAACAGATATCTCACAAACTGATCAGGGGTAACTATAAGCCTCTAGCTTTTAAATATGTAATTTGGAAGCTTGACCACAGAGTCACAAAGTTTGACTTGACCTTATGGTCCCATTTCATCCATAAATTCATAGGGTTGTCAATATGATGCCATGATTGTTGTTTGTTAACATTGTGCATGTTAGCCTAGGTTATATCCCTAGCATATGGAATCTGTCATCATACCCATAATTATGCAACTAAAAGAATTGCTGTACAACTCTGAAAGGACAAATCCACTCCTGTTCTGTAAATATGAATGTTGATATAACCTCTATAGATGCCTGAAATGAGTATTTTTTTTTCATTTATTTACAGGATGGTAAGAAAAGAGCAAATTATAAGGATATAATTATAAGAAGATATTATTTTGTCATATAGATTAAATGATGTTCAGAAAAGGCTTCTGAGAAGAAGGTGACCCTATATAACCTTACATAAACCATCCTATATTCCATTACTTCGTATCCAGTATTGCCATGTGAGTTGACCCACAGCTAGGAAAGACCATAAATATAGACCATCAAAGTTATTAATTCGTAATTAATTCCTGAATAGCAGGCCTCCAGAAAGTAACAGAAAGTCATTAAAAAGAATGATGGAAAACAATGCACAGAGATCTCAAAGTTTGGGGAGTATGCTTTTACCAACATTAATCTAACTCAAGAATGTATGCACTGATTTAAAAAAATTGTCACAAGAAGCTTGCACCATTTGGGAAAGAAGATAATGTTCTTTCATTTTATCTGTCATACACAGGAAATTAATAATGAATAATTTTATCAGAAAAAGTATGAAAAGAAATTTATGCAGAACCATTTCAGTTGTTTGAAACAGGAAGCTTATTCCCTCTCATGTACAGGTAGTCCTTGGGTTACAACCACTTTGTTCAGTGACTGTTCAAGTTATGGTGGCAATGAATGAGAGGAACTTAGATTGGTCCACAAAGTTGCGGCCGTCGCAGCATCCCCGTAGTCAAGTGATTGCGATTCGGGCACTTGGCAACCAGCTTACAATTACAACTGTTGCAGCATCCCGTGGTCATGTGATTGCCATTTGCAACCTTCCCTGCCGGCTTCCCACAAGCAAAGTCAATGGGGAAGCCAGGAGGTCGCAAATCGCTCCTGCTGCTTTTTCGCCCCCCTGCCTGTGACTCCCACCCACACGTGCTCCATACAGCTTGCTTGTAGCATCTGCCCACCCACCCATGTTCCACAGCACCTGCCTGTAGCACCTGCCCGACTGCCTGTAGCTCTCACCCGCAGCTCTCGTCCACCAGCCTGCTCGCCTGGGACTCCTGCTTCTTCCCACGTCGTGGTTATGTGAGGTCCTTGGCTAATGACCTCTGCGGTCCTAGGGTTATAAAGGCATCCGGGATTGCTGTCACTAAGCAATGTGGTCACATGACGTCACGCTTTACGACTGCATTCCTTAGCAACGGAAATTCCGGTCCCAATTATTGTCGTAATCCAAAGACTACCTGTAGCTCAGATAAACCTGGTAAGATTTTTCTAAGCCCTGATATAGAAATGTCAGTGTTTTGATCAAATTATTAGCTTTGCTAGCATGACTTCATAATTTTTTAAATTCAATTTTAGTCTGTTTTAATCTGTAATAGACTTATGTTTTGTTAAAAGACAGAAGGAACCTCTTTGCCTTAGAATATAATTTAAAGATACCGTACATTTAAAACCCAGGAGACACTTATTCCAGGGAAGTTTGATGATGACATTTCAAAAACTCTGAAGTGTGTTCTGCATTTGGCTAGTTAATGGCTTAGCTAGAACAGTCACATTATCAGATTTTTGAATAGAGAGCAACAGCTCACACTATCAAAATTTATATCTGAATTTATGGGATTTACTTTTTGTGTAAATTTAAGGAAAATAAACATCATCCATCAATTGGCAACTCCTATTCTTTCAGATTAATTATAAGTGTCCGTGATTTGAGGGCTTCCATGATATGTAAGGAGGCTAAGAGAGGACAACTATCTGCTGCTAATGGGACAAGGGAGCTGCTCACGCTATAGCTTCCTCTGGTTTGCTCTCCTGCAATGTCACATCTTCTGTTTTTCCTGGAGAAGGAATGGGTGGAAGATGCTTCCGATAACGTCGCTTGCGGGGCTTTGGTGCCGGCTGACCCACAGTAACAGGAAGTTCTGACTGCTGACTCTGCATATTGGCTTGGTTCTCTACTGGGAACTCAAATTCCAACTTTGGAGGTTTCTGGTCCAGAAGCTCCTGTCCTGGAGAAGGCTGAGGCTCTGGAAACACCTGCAAATCAGGTGGTTTCTTGGGTGGTGGGGTGGCTGCTGCCAGAGGCAATAGGCGCTTTTTACCACCCTTTTTGATCTGTTGGAGGAAGAAACAGAATGTGCTCTCAGCCCATGACAAACGGATTCTTATCTTCAAATAAAAGCTTACTTCAAAGTTAATGGCTCTATGAGACCCATTCTTCGCCTTCACCCAAGTGCCATTTCTGAATTAAAAGACAGGATTCCTTCAGGATTCCTATGTATCAATTAAGAACTAAACCCTTCCATCCTCCAAAATCTGTTTTATCAAAGATTGAAAATCAGGGAAATTAACCAATGCTACAAGCCAGTCCACCATTTCTCCAGTCCATTTGCTTTTACACTGCTTCACCCAGGCACCTGTTAAGTACTTTCTCATTCTTAACATCAAGCACTGAAATACAGCATTGCAGGATACACCTGAAAAACCATGGGTTAGAATCCTCGCTTTGCCTGGAAAGAGGGGCAAACAACTACCCTTATTGTACTTTTAATCGCACTGATTTCCACTGTAATGGTATGTGGGAATGACCTTAGGAGACAGGAGGAAGAACTGCAACCTAGACAATGGTCTGATAAATGAAATTTGAGTCTGAAGGAGAAGGGGTGACGAAAACATCTCAGAAGGGACCTTCCCTAGTTTTTCGGAAAGTATAAGTGAGGATGGGAGGGGTACTTTCAGACTTGCAAAATTCTGTTAATGCAACCCTACAATAAAGAGAAATAATAGTCCTAGTTGTGCTTCTTGTCTGGACTACCTCACAAGGCTAACCTCCACGGAGAATAGGCAGCAACTAAGACCTGTTAAATTAAAGACTCAGAGAACACAACTAATTTACCATATGAACAGGACATGTTTTGAATGTACTTTTGGGAGGCTTCACCAAAAGCTTTCCAAATTGCTCACTCTAGACAATTTCTAAACAAGCAAACAAATCATGCTGATGTCTTTCCATCACTTCTCCCATATCATTCTTCCAACTGCCATCCAAACTACCGATCTAGATGTCACACTATTCTGGCTTGAGCAGACTGTATACTTACCCTCTGAGGGCTTCCTTCAGTAGGTGAGAGGGGTGGTGAGGGCAGGGGCTGCAGGAGGAGAAAGCAGGCAGTTAAGTTTTAGTTTCTACTGGCATTATGGTCTAGTTTATTCTGAGCTTAGGAAATCACCTAATAGATAAAGTGGGAATTCATGCATCTGCCATCCAAGGGATCACCACAACTGTAGACTTGCCAGCAAAATTAATTAAGCACAGTCTGGGCTGAGCTTCCCCATAAGAAGATAAGGATAACAGACGTTCATAGAAAAAGGTCATCTTGTACAGCTGGAGGAGCTCACTAGTAATCATAGGTCAACCACTGTATCTCAGGTTAAATTGTGTCACAAAATAGTTATGAGAATAAAATGTAGGAAGAACAAAAGATAAGAAAAAAAACCTCTTTAAGGTCCTTAAAGGAAGGGGAGGGTGTAAACAAAATATACATAAATAAAAGAAACCTGCTTTGGAAAAATAAAGTACTTAAAAGTCTGGGATTAATTGGAAGGCGGTAGTAAGACAAAAAAATTGCAACATGACTCTGACCAGAAGTCACAGCAGCTAATTCTGCCATCACAGTCAGTGTTACCTATAATAGTACCTCTGTGCTTGGCTCAACAAAAATGCCTTTCTTGTAATCAAAATCAGTCAGGTCCCGCGAACATCCCAGCAGTCTCAGCAGCTCCACTCTGCTGCGGATCTTCTCTCCTCTGGGGCTATGAGAAGAAGTGAAGCAACTGTTAGATACTTTCAGAAAAAAATACAATGAAAATAAGAACATCTGATCTGAGCAAATAGATAGAGGCAAAAGGAATTCAAAAGCCACCTTACACTAAGGAGCTTTCCAATTTCTGCTGTTGCCTCCTTGACCCATTACAAGACCAACCCCACTGATGTGGATGCTAAGAATGAAGCAAGTTCTTTGTTAGAAACTTGTATGAAATTTCAGGCAGTATGGGAAGCAGGACACGTAACATCTTAGCAATAGTAACCAAGAGTTCTGCCTTATTATTCCCAAAGAAGTAATACTAGAAACCATCTGCTAATGTTACCTATTTGCAGAATTCATTTGGCCTTCAAAAATCATCTCCTATCCCCACAGACTTTAAGAACCTTTAGTTGCTTAAGAGCACAGAAGGTACAGTAGAAAAAATAAAATAAAATTATGGACCTTTTCTCTATCCCCACTTTTTCTGCCCTCCCCCTGGTTAGAAGTCTCTTATGTGGTTGTCATGCCCAGCTGTATTTGGCTGACCTCGTCTGGGTTCAAAAGCTGAGCAGGTTTGGGTCTGATTGGTACTTGGATGGGAGATCACCAACAAATACAATAGATTGAGATGTTAAAACTTTTTGGAAGAAGGGTGTCCCCATATTGTTGCATAGAAAACTTGACATGTTCATGAAGTTTCCAGGAGTCAAGATAAACTTAAGGGAATGCATAGCCTTAATATAATGTGCAAATATTTCCTGCTTGGATCTATCTTTATCTGACTATTTTTCTCAGTGGTGATGATGGACATAAAGGTAGAAGAGAGTTGATCTGCAGGTTTGTATTCTTTATCAACAGCCTGACTCTCTAGTAGAAGAGGCTGGTACCCAGGCTATATCACTGAATGTCAAGAACCAGGATAAACCAATCACTAGACAAATTAACATATTCTTAATTATGTTGTACTTGGACTTCCAGGGGAAGAAATGATGGACTGAAGATGGTTCTGTGAAAAGCAGAGCTGATGACTGCAATGAAGAACAAAGAACTGGTGAGTAGACCAGCTCTTCAAACCTCTCCAGACAAAGAGAGGACAGGAGATGGCCCACAAGTGCTAACGACAGTTGCTCCTCATAAAGAGACCATAACAGAGTTGCCTCTGGTGGGTTTTGAGCACTGGGAGACAAGGGAATAGCTATCTTGCTCAAACTGCGGTCGGTGCCTTTAAAAGCATATTTAGCTTTTAAGCTTGCATATTTCCTTTTCTAATCACATTTAGAAATTGCTTATTAACTACTTTTCAGCTATTAGAAATCTTTGGATCCACAAGTCTGAAAACACCAGGTGAGTCTGCCTTCAATCCTTAATGAAAGAAAATTTTAACTATAAGCTTAAGAATTTTTAAAAATTTAAAATAAACAGCAAAAAGCTAATTAAGACCTAGATTTTAGAAAGTTATAAATGGATAAATTTGAAATAAGATTTTGGAATTAATTATAAAGAATCCTTCCCATGGGAAAGTCGACTTGTTCTAAATTTTTTCTAAGACATATAGGAGATAAACAATTTTAAAAATTGGAAACTAGAGGAAACTAAAGATTTTAATTAAAGGAGAAGAATACATAAACTTGATTAACAGCTACAGAGTGATACAAAACATAACATTGGAAATAATGAAGGATACTTCTGAAAAATGGAATCAGAAGTTAATATCAACAATGTCAAAATGTTGGCTTCTATGGATAGACTGCATCCAAAAGATATTTTGGGAGAAATGGCAGAAGTGGAACAAGTTTTATCTGACAAGACAGAGATTGAGTTGGATCTACAGATGACAGGCTACAAGAATGACACGGAAAAAGAAGTTTCATTGGACATACAAAAGAAATCAGTTGATGCTTTAAGGGAATTACAAATAATAAACCAAGAGAGTGGCCTAGATAATTCTTTTATATTGGATTTACAAAAGAGGTTTGTTA